AATCATCTATGTAAAACAGTTCTGACAGACAGATAGACAGACAGACGTGTAGGTAATTCTACAAAGGTGATTCCTATGCCCTGGTGATACCACTATATGTCAAGAATCTGTTGAATATAAGTTTATCATGGATCAATATCGTCACCAAACGGCAGTCTCCTAAGTTTGTAAGCGATATGCACCACAATAAGCTGTAGTTATCATTGAGAGAACAATTTTTATATGGTCCGCGAACTATTTATATTGTAATTATGGGATAAATATTTTGTAAGTTAACAACCTTAAAATATCAAAACCACGGACAAGGAGTAGCGAATAAAATACGAAGACTCTGGTACTATTCTTTTTTAATTTTTTTTAAAGAATATTCACAATGCTATAAACATTACTAATATTCCCCTTAACCACTCGTGGTAAGTTTAAATTGCTTGTGTTACGCCACTCGTAACGCCATTCGACTATTTCACGCAAATAGTCGAATGGCGGATTCGAACCCACAACCTTTTTGAGTTCGCGGTCCGCGCCCTACCATTAGGCTACTGTCGCTTCAAAAAATTATTTATAATATAGCCCTTTTTCTATATAACACAAACATAATAAAGGATCAAACACACATCGTCTGCGTTCGGAACACGCGCCACACGCAAACGTGCTGCGCTCATAGTCGGTCTTATCCGTTTTTAAGACAACCATTTAAGTTTTTGAAGGTATTATAACTTGCAACAGATAATTAATGAATGAATAAACATTGATATGTAGATTACTATTATATCGACTAAAGCACCTCAAATCGTGCCAAGAAACAATATCATTCGAAACATTTTTGGCACTAATATTTTCCGGATGCTGTTATTTTTAAAGACGTGATATTAAATATACAAACTCAACGTTTAAATAACCCTGCTACTAAACAGTACGGGCTCTGTATATGTGATGGTAGAATAACCATACAATGCTCAACTAATATATAACGATACAGCCACGCTGCAATTGTATCGTTATTATAACAGCACGAATAGGTCCACTTAACCGAGTAAGAACCCCGCGCGTACAAAATAAAAGCGTAAGATCATGGTTTGTGTTATACTGAGGCCGGGGGTTATATCCCAGCAAAGGCCCAGGTCCCTCTGGGAAAAGTGCTAGAAAAACGGATTCCCAGGATACAGGCGATGTAAACATCTCCTGTATCCTGGGGGTAAGGACTGTTTTCCTTTTTTTGGAACAAACTATAAAATACAAGCGTATACGCTACGCATACCCCTTTTAGCGGTTTCGAGGCATTCTATAGATATCTTGGACCTCAGGATAGCTAACGCATGTACACTTGTCTATAAGCCACAGAATCAACCTTCAACCAGGTGGAACTGTGTGCTCGTTTTTCACTCTTATTCTATAGAAAATGAAGGAAAATATTTCATATGGCCCATCATTGAAGAAAAGCTTAACCCAGGACGTGTTCAGCTTTTTTCAGTCCAGGACAATGGATATTAGGAATAAGGTTAAAAAAGGAAATATGAACAAATTATGGTAGAACTGTAATCTCCCACTTTTTCTAGCAACATATCAGTAATTCTCATAATATAGTATAGGCAAGGAAGATCGTATTGCTGAGAGGTGGCCACGTGTTATGGTCGCCACACACGGTCCGTTCAACTGATCATTCCAACTGATCAGTTCAAACTAAAACTGTTGATATTTTTTACCTTTACCGCGCAGTCCCCGAGTGCCATACGTATTTTTTGTATAGGATGAAGGTGACAAATGAGCACACAGTCCACCTGACGTTAAATTGTTACTGTGATCCATAGACATTTAAATCTGTACTCGATTACGAATCAAAATACAGATGCATTGTCACACCCATTCGTACTAAAACTCTACCAATAATACAGCTACAGCTTGGCTCCACCACGTGAAAAGTATTAGTAAAGAAAATTTGTTACCGAGTAATAATCTTTTATTTAAATAATTTTGAGAATAATTTCTTACGATATATACACTTGGATATGCTGGGCACAGTCCTCTTCTCATTTATGAAGGCTTGACTACCTCTCCCACATAAATCGATGCTTTTACTGATCCACAAGGATTATAAATAAAAGACTATTAAAACATTCATTTTAATTCTAAATCTCTATAAATATGAACCTTTGAAGTTTAAAGTTTTGCCAGCTTGTGAGTAAAGTATTTATAATGAATGTAGAGCAAGCTCCATCGTATAAAGTATTTTGCAGATTTATAAACGTGGGAAGGCGCTTTAAGTGTTCTCTATTCAGTTAACTGTAATTTTAACATAAGTAACACTACCAATAGAAGAGAATTTCAAAGAAAGTTATTAAAATTTTAATACACATCAAAAATAATTTAAGCGCCTTAAATTTGTCATTATTTTTAAAAGACCATAATTTTTTTGTTAAATTTCACGTTTTAACGGTCTTAATAGTTTACAAAGAAGTGCTCGAAGCGGTGTCGTCATAAGAGAATCATTCAACACAATCTCTTCGAAAGAATTTCTACTATAGGAAGTGATATGACAACTCATGGCCTGCGACAGAATGACTGTATAATAATCTCGTAAATGCTAGATGTCCCAAGTTCAGCAATAGCCTGTTTGTGGGCTGATGTGTAGGTGGATATCCTCGTTTTCTTTTAATACTCAATTCCTTCATTCATTACAGATATTTTGATATTAAATTCCTATTAAAGTCTCAAGATAAAAATAGGTGTCCTCCATAGACGGCCTTATTTGCCATAATAACAATGCTTGGCAGGCGGTTTGGCAACTACAGTTATTTATTATTTTGTTTTGTTATTAGGAATAAATATGTTGCTGACATATATCCTTCTTTTTGTTACCCTCCTAGATTTGTACTGTAAAAATTGATATAAAATCAACGACACTTACCACCAGCTGACTTAATATCATGTGCTCGTTTGTCACGCTTATTCTATTTTAAAAAAATCAAACGCACGCGACAGCAAATTGAAACAAATTTTTACAAAATCTGCTTTAACACCGTTGATATTCATTGCTGTTGCCGCTGTAATCTGCACGAATTCGCAAGCTGTGCAGTAACTCGATGATTGGTGGATTAAACTCGTATTACTAATGAATTTGATTCGTATAAGAGATTTATCTTTTTGTTGAGATTTGCAGAAAAATTCGTGTGCAGAATTCAAACTAAACAAATGCTCTTTAAAATGTTTGTCCTAGGCCAAACTAGTTTATCCGACGCGTATTCGGACATACTAGTGTAGACCGTGGTAAGATCATATTATAAAGTTTGGCCTAAATACTTTAGGCTTAACTAGTTTGGCCTTGGCAAAATTTAAGGAATCATAATCTAATCTAACCTAACCTAATCTACTATTGACCTAAAACTTCTGCAAGAGCTTCGGTGCTGCGGGAAGTGCAGCCCCTTCGTCCTTGCGTAGTAAATCGCAGGCATCCAGGCTCACCTCCGCAGTTTTGGCTTTTGGTCGCCTTCGGCAACCAACCTCAACCGCTGTGGCTCGCTCAGCTTCCTGCGAATTGCTACAGCAGGCGGGGGCTGCTCTCTCTCTTCGCACCTACGGCTTTACAAGAACACTCTAGGGGTAGAGCAGACAAGACTACGTAGAGTCGGGGCGTGCTCATTCGGTTTAAGAACAAATTCGACCGATATTATCAAACAATATATATTCCTAGGCCAAAATAATTAAGTCAAAATATTTAGGGCCAACTGGATTGTCTTGGGCTACGCTTGTATGTCTGACACGCGTTAGATAAACCGATTTGTAAAGTAAAAAGTAAATTTACAGCCTATATACGTCCCACAGCTGGGTACAGGCCTCCTATTATTTCTGAGAGAGTTTTAGGGCAAGGAATTGTCCGCGCTGCTCCAATGCATGTTCGCGAACTTTTCATGTCTTCGAATTATATTTTTTCCTTATTTCTCTGACATGCAGGTTACCTCACGATGTTTTTCTTCACCACCGAGCACATGGTAAATCAACACATAAAATTGCAATTAACAATTTCATTGGTGCCGGCGTGGATCGAACCCGGTTTTCTCGCATACTGTGAAATTTACAGCGAGCGATAACCATCTGAGCTACCACGGCTCCTAAACCAATTTGGCCTAGGACAAACTAGCTTGGCCTGAAATCGGGTTTAGCCGGTAACATATACAAGAGAAAGTAATTGCATATTGCCAGTTTGTTGTGCCACTTTCTTGTTTTCGTATAAATCCGGTATCGACCTAGAAAGCTGTCCATGAGATCTACACTGCCCATATTAGAATTATACTCGCTTAATACTTTTGGGCAAAGGATAGGCAACCGTCTTTGCTCTTTTATGTCGTATCTCTCGATTGTTCCAATAGATTCATACAGTAAAACTTGCTGGTTGTCTTTCCAGCTGATTGCAGTCCTTCGTATGCAGATACATTCTCTCCGTATCTTCCTCTCGGTACGTCTCCTTTCATAACATCAGCTTTTGACGGTAATTTGCAGTTTTTTCCCAGTCTATTTCGTTGGACTGTGCCCAGGCAGTAAATGCCTTGTTGAGGCAAGTTCGTGTAAAAATTATCAAAACAAATATAAGCCTTCATTATCATTAAAATGGCTGAAACTTCTAATTTTCTCGAACATGTTTAGTGGCGTAGTTTCTTAAATTAAATTAAGTAAATGCATGTTTGGTGGTCCAGTAAGAACAGATATTTGGGTATCGAAAGATAGACATGTATGTGAGAATCCCAAAGAATTGTCGCGATTCTGTACTAGTAATTGTATCTTTTCGAGCCGCATTTTTAGTACACTGTACCTATTGCTTTCTTGTAATATTTGTTATAAATATTCACCTTTGAAAAAGTAGGAAAAAACTGAAAATGTGTTTCTAGATTAGCAACTTCGGAAGAAAAAGAGCATTGTTCTCAAATTTAATTTTGTTAGCGCCGAATGGAAAGCTTTGTTTTTTCCATAATATTTGCCTAATTGGAAGCCGCTGATTGTTGAGGCAGTCAGATGGTTATTATTGTCATATATAATAGGAGGGTCTGACTTGTCGACGTTATCATGACTAGGTAGTACAGATTACCATCACAAGTTTCAAAATCATCTTCTAGCGCTTGTACACGTACATGTACATCTTCTCTTGTAGAAAAGTAATCTAAGTCGTCACCTTCGGACTCCCATCTATCATCCGATATTTCGTCTGTTTCTAACTGTCGAAGAGGCTCTTCTATTTCACTATTCTTGCAGTTTTTTGAAACCATGACTCTTAAACGTAGAAAAAACATGCATTAACAGTATATGATTTAAAACAATATATCATTTTTGAAACAGTTGATATATGTGAAAGAAAAAAATATTATTCAAGTGTTTTTGTAAAAAGATAAAACACTAACACAAAATATATAAATACTTAATACCAATAAGCATTGAGCTATTATGTACTACGTACTAGAGGCGACACTACATTCAGCTACTCTGTTCCACTCAACTGCAGTGCATACACCGCACTTTTAACAGTCACTAGCTAGGCGCTTGTAGAGTTGTCACGTGTTGTGTTGATTTAAAAAAAATCGCTTGATAAAAGTATGCCGTCGTGTGTACTTAGATATTGCACAAATAATTCAAGAAATGTTAGTAAAAACCAAGGAATTACTTTTCATCGGTTAATAAGATACTTAATCAATAAAAAAAATATTTCGTGTCATGAAATATAGATTATGAAATTAATATGTTCAGATGCGACATTTCTGTGGGTACTTAAGTATAGGACGAATATATTATTATACACATTTTTATGTAGAAACATATATAAGTTATTATAATTATGCTAAATTTTTCATGTTTAAATCTGCTTATTATTCTTTTATTTTATTTTTAGGTTTCTATTTCAAAGTCAATGTGGAATAAATTCGTCCATTTTTAACTCTTCCGTGCCCAACATTTATGAACGACTCTTATTCTAATTTAAATAAATGTATTTGTAATTTAAATGTTATGTTTAATAAGTTTTGTTAAACATACAGTTAGTATATTTTTTTTATATTTGACGTAGATATCTTTAAAATATTCAGATAAAAATATCATTAAAACGTAATTGTGATATAATATTATGTAATATTATATTAAATAAGCAAATATAATATACAAAATAAATGACAAAATTTAAATATTGTTCTCGATATCATTTACCTGTTTAACAATACAATCTAGGTACTATTACCTACGGATCATTCTACCTAAGTTTATTCTATGATAAAAAAACAACCGCGCGAACACAGAGTAGCGCACATTTTTTGTTTGAGATAGCTGTTCTAGTACGTAAGTACATATTACTTTAATGCCAATAAGAATATTTTTTTTTTCTAAAAGAAACTTCACGAAAGATAGTTTTTATCAAAATTACAATTTTCAGCAAATAATAACTCGCGCCAAAGTCAGTGCAGCATTTCAAAATAACGGTTATGTTCGCGCGTGTCCAAAAAATATCCTTTTTTTTAAACAGTTTGAAAGTGATATGTTTAAGGCATAAACAATCATTCAGCCAAGTTTGCTATTTAGTAATAAGAATGACCAAGATGAGTTCAAAAGCACCGTTTCATTTTTAATATGCCGTGCATAAATAACAAGAAAGAATCGTACATAATGAAAAAAAATTTTCACTCGCTTCTTAATTTAAAGCAAAATAATGATTTGTTATATTTACGTTAACACCACACAACTGAATGAAACTAGTTTTTACGAATTTTATCGCGTATTTTTTAATTTGTACTTGTTTTAAGTTTCCGACGTTTTAAGTACTTTACAGCATCCATAATTACGGGGGACTGTGGTGATCGTAGTCGAAACATCGGTAATTTAAAATAAGTTCGTATACGGGATACGATCAGGAAAATTAGTCGTTTAAAAAAAATTAAGCAATACCTGAGTGACCCAGCATAATATACATAGGCGTTAATATATTGGCGTAAATAATTGAGCCGATCGTCGCTCACGTCGGGTTATGACATTTTCCACCAATTATATTTCGGTTCAATAATCATTTGCCCAAAAACTCGTGCCCTAGCAACGTTATTAATTTCACATACTCCGAATCAAATTCAAATGTTGGTCGACTCACGATCCTAAAAAAAAAGGCATGCTCTGATCACGAATCTGCGTAGTCCATTTTTGCGTAGGATGCACGGTTCCGGAGATGTGCAGATCAATTAACTCTTATCTAATTGATATCCGGTGAGGGCCTCCACCGTCATTAGCGCTCCATTGTTCTTATCTATTGTTCATTGAATACCGTCATTATCTATTCGTTCGTCGGATTATCGGTGCTATTATATTACACTCCTTTGTTCATAACTGCAACGGTAATCTGACTCATCAATAAAATACATTACCTAATTTTGTTACAATTTTTATTTACGACATACAAATTCTACTACTTATTATCTATAAAATAGGAGCGAAATATCTCATCTACTAAAATATCGTTGTACAATGTGTTCCATGTAAATATACTCGTAAAACTATGCATTGAACATCCCTGAAACTTATATAGCAAATACATTAAGCAATATTCGCCACAAACTGAAGTCCACTCATTCTGAATCCTATCAACATTCCAGTTCCATCTTTTACAATTCCTTTTTAAAAACTCTAGATGATATCGTACAGGTGCTCGTCCGTATGAATCAAAATATTGACCGACGTCATTCGTATCGACATATAAAGCTACCCAATGTGACCCTGGTTTATCATCTGTATCCAAATTGCATATTATATACGTTGGCACGTGGGTGTACATGGGCAGTCTATTGGCAGCATAAACATTATTTTCTAGACTGGGGTGAATCTTTTTCAGATGTTGTTGTACATCTAGTGTATCCATGATATTACTGCTATTAGTCGATTATTACAGAACAATCTACTCAATGACTAACATAGAAATGATCAATTATAGTGATTTCTAAATATTAAATTGCATTATTTTGTGTTATACAAAACGTATTTGAGTCATCAATACACTGAACAAGACGCGACACGAAGTAATGTTGAGATAAGCAACAAAATGTGAGATAAGCTTATTGACGCATAAAGTTACTATCAATTCCACTGCAGAAATTCTTTAGATTAGAATTATTACTTACTGGTACTATATAAGACCAAGCAAGTGCAGTCATGGAGTTAGTATATGGTCGTTTGACCGCAGTGGTTCTATCAATACTACATTTGTGTTACTTCAACTCATCAAAGGCCTCGGATGTAAGTGTCTATTCTATTGAGAAACTTACTTTTCTTTCTGTTATTTTCTTACGTGTGTATGATTTAGTGTTAACAAATTATATATAAATATTGTGTGTGTATTATATTAAGCCGTGGTAGCTCAGATGGTTAGCGCAAGCTGTAAATTTCACAGTACCCGGGTTCGATCCCCGCCGGCACCAATTAAATTGTTATTAGCAATTTAACAAATTATATTTAAATATTGTGTGTGTCTACCGCAGCTACGAATACTAGAGTAGTTAAAAATACTTTTTTTAACAATGACAGTCATTAGTTGATCATTAGTGAATGTAATTCTGTTTACTTAAATTACAGGAAGACAAGAGCAGAAGGAAGAAATGGGATGATGGGAAGTAATGAAGCATTGTTATGTGAAGATTGTTGGAACAAACATATTTTTAGTCACGTGTAAATACTTTTAACATTTTGGTTCAAAATGACACAAAATCTAAAAAATGTTAGATACATCATCGACATGGACGGATTTTACATTACATATTCTCATAAACATTTTCAATGTAGAGAAATGGCTATTCTAGACGTAAACTATCTAATAAAAATGATGCGTTTATCGATCATTATTTGTTTCGGCCAAGTTATCCTTTCAAATATTTGTCACCAAAAGACAAAAAAACTGTTCGTTATTGTGAAACACACGTGCACGGCATTCCATATTTTGATGTGAACGAAGAATTAAAATGTCCCTACAAACAAGAGAACATCATCCCCATATTAAATTGGTATATTAGAAATTTGTGCAAATACGAAGTGATCGCATACAAAGGTGGTTCAACAGAAAAGCAATTTTTAAAAGTGTTGACGACGAATGGAAGAATTTTTAATATTGAAGAATACAAATGTCCAAAATACAATGATTTGGTAAATGTCTTAAATTTAAACAAACGTTTTTTTTTTTTTTTTTTTTTTTATAGAAGAGGGGGGCAAACGAGCATGTGGCTCACCTGATGTTAAGTGACTACCGCCGCCCATGATCAACTGCAACACCAGGGGAATTGCAGACGCGTTGCCGGCCCTTTAGAAAGGAGTAAGCTCTTTTCTTGAAGGTCCCCAGGTCGTATCGGTCCGGAAAAATCGCTGGTGGTAAATTATTCCACAGAGAGGTTGTACGCGGAAGAAAACTCCTTTTGAAACGTACAGTGGTGGACCGCCAAGCATCCAGATGGTGTGGATGGTATCGGGACGTTTGCCGCGTAGTGCGTTCACGAAATTTGGCGGCTGGGATTAATCCGAACAATTCCTCAGAGCACTCTCCATGGTATATGCGAAAGAAAATGCAAAGGGATGCAACATCTCTTCGCAGTGCCAGAGAATCGAGCCGATCGGAAAGCACTCGGTCGTCGACGATTCGAGCCGCTCTGCGCTGGATGTGGTCAAGTGGAAGGAGCTGGTACTGGGGAGCCCCAGCCCAGAGATGGGAACAGTATTCCATGTGCGGCCGAACCTGCGCCTTGTAAAGTTGCAGGCGGTGTGCCGGCATGAAATACTGTCCCGCTCTGCTGAGCACGCCAAGCTTTTTAGAGGCCAATTTGGCCTTCCCTTCCAAGTGACCACGAAACTGCACGTCACTCGATATGTCGACGCCGAGGATTCCGATACTGGCTGAGGCAACAAGGGGAGTGCCTTGAAACTGAGGGGATACGACAAAGGGGTTCTTTTTAGCGGTTAACGCGCAAACTTGTGTCTTCTGGGGGTTAAACTGGACTAGATTTAGTCGCCCCCAATCCGAGACTCTGTCCAGCAGAGACTCGACTTCAGACACAAGTTTGTCCCGGCACTCGGAGACGTTTTCCCGAGAAATATTGGCTCGGCCGGTGTAAAGAGCATCACCAGTGCTGTCATCTGCATAGCAATGAATGTTACGGGTCTGCAACATATCATTGATATGCAGAAGAAACAGCGTTGGCGATAGCACGCAGCCCTGTGGAACACCAGCATTAATAGGCTTGCAATCGGAGCTTGCACCGTC